AAATCTGCACAATTATTCAATAGAATCACTGGAAAACTATAGAGTTTTCCAGCGACAGCGCTGGGATTTTCTATGAATTTTTTGACCTACGTGTCAATAATAAATATGTCGAGAAAAAGGAAAAGACTTTTAGATCATTAGATTCTGCATTCATTATACTATTGATTATAATATGTTCGATTTTACATTCCTGACAATTATTACAAAATGCGAGGAACTACCGTATTGAGAAGCTCTTTCCGGTTATCGACAAATTTATACTCGGGCCCTACCATACCGACAGTTCCGTACGCTCCATCGTAGTCCATGCGCCACCGCTACGAATTTTGCTGTTGAACACTTTACATTGGCCCTGCTCATCTCTCCTATAATCTCTGTTGTTATTGCTTATAGTGTCACTCCAAACGTCATTTTTGTAAATAAACACAGAGTGTACAATTGGAGCATTGAAAATTCATCAGTGAAAACTCACCAGCTATTACCCAATATCCATTGAACAGCTATTCAAATGATAAATATGACAGCAGTACCGGATTTCACAGCCGAGTCAGCGAAAGGTAATAACCAAAGTTTACAAAGTTCACTTCCCACATTAATAATTCAGTACTTAAATGATGAAACAAAAATCAAGAAATGTCCACATATTTGCCGGGCAAGTTCTTGCTTAATATCTTCGAATCCACGGACGATAGAATAATTTCCATATAAACTTTTTTGGAGCTCTTATACGGCTTTACAAAATCATATATACGAAAAAAATCATGGAAACAGCTAGCACATTCGTAACAAAGTTCTATTGGATTTCTGTTCAAAATTCTATTAGTTCTTTGCAAATTCTATTGAACAAATCCGCGGCATTGCTGTGCGTTTCACTCATTGAAAAATATTTTATAGAAAAAACCGATAGATTATGGACTTTCTATACAAATTCAATGGAGATGACTTTCATAAAAAGGCTGAAGTTTTTAAAGTATTTCGGCATTACTATCTTAATGCGAAGAGGATGAAAAAAGCTTGAATTTTTTCCGAGGAAATTTCATAGAAAATATCTTAATAAAACAATTTTTACATTACAGGAGTGAAAAAATATTGAATTTGTCTATGGAAGATTTTCAATCAAACATTGCTATTGAAGAAAATGCACAGAAGAGCTACGGAATTGTTCAGTAGAATTGGATTTCTATTAAAAATTCATCGTCGATTTTATTGAAAAATTCTGGAGCTTTCTCGCGCGTCTGTTTTTCAATGGAAAATGTTCAATAAAAACTATTTTATTTTAAAAAGTGACTAGAATTTGATCTTTTTATAGAAATTCCTTGATGTAAACTTTATAAGTAACTCTTATTGAAATTAATCCCGAGGAATATGTACAGACAATATGTCAATAAAATAAGTTCTATAGGAAAATCAAATTCTATCAATTTTGTTTATAAAATATTTTCTACTGAATATTTCTTTTCCATACTAGGCGGCTATGCGCCCTGCTCGCTTCGCTCGTTCCCCCTTAATTTTCTTGGGTATGTTCAGGCGTTCGAATGATAGAAAAAAATTGATAGACTGATTTACCTCCTTTACAAAATTGAGTTTTTCATTATTTACAAAGTCTGCAAGCAACCTTTTGCTGTGAGACTCAACCATTAATTTTTCCATTTATTTACATAGAATACGAGGTATACTCTTATTATTATTATTTTTTAAGGATTTGACCCCCATGGAATTGGACCCCTATATGACCCCCATATGACCATCATATAACCTCATATGACTCCATACGAACCTATACAGATGTGAACATATTAGAGAGATAAAGATAATAATTCATTTTGAATGGCATCATCAGGGTTACAGTAAGGGTCAGAATCGGAGGCGTCTCCTGAATTTTTAAACCTCCTTATTTTTTTATTGTATAGAGAGAAACAAGTGAAATGGTCCAATGCAACCGGCCAAAAACTGATAAAATTTTCAATAGAATTGTTTTTTAAGTATTAGAAATCTATCTACTAGGTTCATTAGCTATAAATTAAATATAATTGAATCATACTCAACAGATTTTTAGTTCACCGTCTTTCAAAAAACAATAACAATAGCAATAACAATGGGATTCAGTTAATTTCTCATAGAAATCCAAGATAATTGTCTACTGAATGCACTAGGTTATTCAATGAGTTTTCTTCGTACTAAGGGCACTCCACTTCTGAATTATGCTCTTAAAATTCTCTAGTTCTTTTCAACAAAATGAGAAAAGATGTATGAAACTAAATCACTGATCTTGTACTTTTACTTCAGCTGCATTAAATGAAATTCTAACGGCGCTAACTGCCTCAGAAAATGTAAAAAAGATTACCGAAGCTAAAGAGAACTCTGGAAATGAGATGCTCAAGATGATGCAGTTCGTATTTCCCATCGTGGTACAGATTCAAATGGATGTAATAAAGAATTACGGATTCTCCGAAGGACGAGAGGGACCTGTGCAGTTTCTCCAGTGCATAAGGACATTGGAAAGAGAGGACCCTGAAATTGCTAGATTACACAATCAAGTGAGGGCGTATTTCCTCCCTCCAGTCGCCAGCAGTCCTTCTGGCGAGGCTTCGCTTTAATCGATTGAATTATCACTGCGTATTTTAATTCATTAACTAATTGAGTAGGAAATCCATGGAAAATTGCCATTAGTTATGAACACTCGCGTAATTTGTTGATGCTTGAGAAATAGACAATAATGAATTCTTAAATCCTTTATTTTCATATACAAAACTCTAATTTCAGTAAATGAATTAATTAGTGAAATGGTGAAGAGCAGAACATTATTTTGCAAATATCTTCGAAACTAATGGGTTCAGAAGAGAATGTCAGGAGACTTTTTTTGTTGGCAATTTTATGGGCTATAGCAAAGCTATGTTGAGATTTTTCTCTGAATTTATTCGTATTGGAAATATTGACGAAATAGAAGAATTAAACATTTAAATTTCCTGATCTTCACCATTCCCTACAGAATCAAAATTAATCAATTTATTTACTCATTTCCTGAACAATCATTTGCTGATGTTAGTGCGTCGTACAAACAAAAATATTTCGTCACAATTTCACATGATTCTTGTGGTGTAATAAATAGGTTTTTTTGATAATAGTTTGAAGCATTTTCTCATAAAAGTATAATTAATTATAATGAGACTAATTTTAGGTTTAATTCTATAATGTTCGAATTTTCTATATATGAAAAAATAGACTATTGTTAAATAAATTATCATCTGCTTGAATTACAATTTTCGTTTATATAATGAAGATCTCTAAAGCTCAATTTTTTCCTAAATTTATAAATTATTTCTTCATGTTTTGTTAGAAATGAAAATTAATGAGGCTAACTGTGGATTAATCAGGTCCATTGGTGCAAACAATAATGAAGGAAAAATAAAAAAAATATATGAGGGAACTTAAAAATTTGTACATTTATTTGCATAATTATTATTAATAATAAAGTATATAATATGATCTACTAAAATATATAATAATAAATTCAATTGTTACTTAAATTCATAATAAATTCCAGCCGTCTTAGAATCCCTGGACAATGAAAATCATAGAATATATTGATTAATATTTCACAATCGTGTAGAATTAAAAATAAAAATATTAAGAAACTGAGGAAGAATAGTCTGTTTTGCTTTTCATTTTCATGATGGAATTATGCAACGTAGATATATAATTATCATTTCGGAGTAATGGGAGATAACGTTGACGTAAAAAATGCGCAGAGTACCAATCCTTGAGCACTTTTTCATGAAATGAATTCCAAAAAGCGAGAAAAAAAATCGATAGAAAATGACAATTACCTCGAAAATCATAAATGATGAATTCACATTTTTATCTTCATAATTTCCGAGAAAATAATGAGAAAGCATGAGGAGTTCCACAATTAATATTTCATATGTGATATAGAATGTACAATTTTCAATAATACCATTATTCTTTTCTTCTCTTTAATTAATAATAATAATAATAATAATAATAAACTGGTGTTAGTCAGAGTAAATTGATTGTAGCTCACGTAATCATTTACAAACTGTAATAAATTTCTCCACCGACTCGTGATTTTTCCTAGTTCATGTTTAATCCATCCATGATTAAAATTGTATTCAATTCTTGTTTCTCTCTAATACGACATTCCAACAGCTTTATGTTTTTAATTAGCGTTGAGAATCCTTTAGATCGGGAGCAAATAAATAGCAAACAAAAGCGCCTCACACGACACCAAAGGACCTTGTTTTTCATTCATTACGAAAAAGTTTTGTTTTCAGTTTAAATAAACGTCACATCGTTGATTCAATTGCTGCATAACGAAACTGGTGAAAGACATTTTAAACTTGAATTTAACCCTGTTCGACTGTACTCTCAAGCACTTTTTTAAATGAATTTACACAGCGAAGTGGTCGAAAATCTTCGTAATCCTGCGATTATCTCGGGAATGAGTTCTTTTGAGAAAAAAGTCTCTCGGAAAAAATGTTCTCGAAGATATTCGTAAAATAGTCATCTCTAGACTGACCACTCCGTCAAATTCAAATGATTATAATCACAATTTTAGAAAATTATCGCCCCATAAATAATAATTCATGTTTTCTCGATTTTAATGTTCATAATTAGATTTCTGGTATATCTTGATACAGGCATCAATGAAAAAAACCAAACATTCAATGCTTTGGAATTATTTCCATTGATTTCCTTGAGTAACTGACTTTGTGGACAATACGTGAAAATTGAATTTTGAATTTACAAATGTATAATTGATGTTTTTCCATTCATTACTCTAAACAAAAAAAAATACTGGTGAATTTTGTTTTTCTTGTTTTTCTCATATTTACTTAAAAAATATAGGTACTATTTTTCTCGAATAAAGTGCCATTGTAAAAAACATATGTATCAACGAGGGGCTCAACCGAATCACCAAGCTGTGACAGGAATAGCATCATGTCTATACTCAACCTAAAAAAGTGTGACATTCGTTGACCCAAGAAAAAGTCTTCGATTCTCCAATTCTACAATTGAGCAAGGAAGTGATAAAACGTAATAGTACTGAACAGTCAATTTTTTTATCTAATTACACATAAAGTTATTCAGACAGAGGGTAGTTTTAGAAGAAAATATCAAGAAACATATTCCATTAAAAAGTATCCTAGCAAAAGCAAACATCTTGATATTTCCTCCTAAATTTAATTATTTTCACGATAAATAGATAAATGTACAAATAAAAATGTTTAAACAAAATTATGGGATAAAAAACAACTGGTTCTAAGAAGAAATGTTGAAGGAAATTTCTCATGCAGAAAAAATGCAAAAGAAAGAAATTCTCGTTACATTTTCTCTTGACGTCAACTGATTTCAAGAAAAATCTACAAATTTACAAACAATTACACTCCAAATTTGACTCATTACGTTTTACCACTTCATCGCAGAACTCTCGGTTGTTACGTAATTTTATGTTCATCATTATCATTTTCTACATTACTTCACTGTTACTTTAATCCAATTGAATTAATGTTTACCCTAAGAATAAAAACTTATCGTACAGGGTTATTTGTAAAACATTTGATACGCTTATTATTTTTATCTTTCTCCACAGCTTTTTCTGTCAGTTGTTAATCGGTTTTTTGTTCACCTATTTAGAATCCAACGCTTTTCTCGAGTTTACTGTATTGATATTTCCTGAAATTGTTCTCTTTTTTGTTCTTGTTTTAATTCGCAGGCTACGAGAGGAATGGATTGGCCGTTGCTGGAGTTGCCTGTCCATTACCTGTCCATGGGTCCTGCCGAATTTGATTGATGGAGGGACGAGGGGGTGGTGTTACTGTTGCAAATGGATTCGCTGAAAATGGTACAGCAGCTAAAAACAATTAAATTTCATCATCAATTAAGAGAAATCTAGAAAATCAGTAGTGAAGGGATGAAATTATTCAACAATAAAATCTTCGATTACTATCCAAGTGATTATCTCAGAAATAAGCTTCTTTAGGACAAAAAATGAGGACGTTTTTATGGCTGGAATCATATGGAGCAAAAAAATCCTCAGAATTTTCATATAAACCCAGAATTTTCAGAAATATTTGGGGCAGACTCATCTGTATGAAATTTTATTCTCATCTTCTTCATACAGATGGTCTTGCAAATATCTTTAAGATGCTGGACCCAGACGAAAATGTCAAAAGACGTGCTTTAAGTTTGGGAAATCTGCAAAAAAGATCATATAATAATTTATGTTGAAATCACTCATCCACGAGACAATGAAGTAATCAACAAGATGAGTTAAATCATTTCACCACTTCTCTACTGAATTTCGATCTTACAATAACTTTTTACAACATAACTCATTAGTGATAATCTCGTTCACATAACGAGTGACATGAATTCATAATCGAAAATATCAAGCAAAAGCTCATGCATTAAATTTTGTCGTGAAGTAGAATTATTCTCCAAAAGTGTTCATTACCTAAACGTTTTCTTCCTAATTCTACTTATCGCAAAATAAGCCCATGAAATCAATATTCTAAACATTTGGATGACACTTTGGACCCCTGAATGTTCACGATTATCCGAACAATGATTCTCCTACGAACACGATAACGCTTGGTAATATAATCTACCATGCATGTATCCCAAACATGCTCGACGAAGAAACTCGATTCTCGTTAGATACTCACGATGATTATTTCCATTGAAATGCTAGTTTACGAGAAATATTTATGAAAGATTATATGTGGAAACGATTAAAGATTATTCATTAACGATTAACGGTTATTCATTAACGATTGATAATGAATATTGCAAGCAGTGAGCAGTAAATTTGGAGTGCAATTATTTGATAGGTTGCTTTGAAAATACTAGTTAGTTTAATTAGTAGTAATTAACATCGAGAGGCTGAAGTAGTCAATGAATTTAATCGAAAATCATCAGTAATATGGTAGTGAGGAGATTAGTCATGTGACTCATCATTTCATGAATATCCCTGGAAGTATTAAGTTCGAGGAAAATATAAGAATAGCTTTTTCACAGTCAATTTCATATTCTAAAAAAAAAGGTCCTCTGGCAAATTTTTATCTAAAAACCCTTATTTACAGTTATTTAAGAAATAAAGAGGTCAAGTGGCAATTATCAGAGAACCGTTCTTGTGAGAAATTTCTCAAAAGACCCATATAGGAAAAAATTTTCAAGAGACATTTTTTTACAGAGAATGGTATGAGTCACATATTCACAGAATAATTTTTACAAAATTTTCCATTCATCTCCTTCTACCATTTTACCGCAGCATTTGATCATAAGACTATTTTGAGAAGCTGTGGAAACTCACCAGCTGGCGTAGGGGCAGCAGGTTTCATCATTGAAGTGCTCACAAGATTATCGAGATTTACAAGAGCTGAATTTTCACCCAAAAATGACTGGGGTGTCTTTTTTACAGCACCGGTGCTCGCTGGCAAGTTGTCGCTTAGTCCACCAAGATCGAATGGATCTGGTGATAAAGTTCCTCCTGAAAATATAATCAAAAACATTTCTGCAACAATTTTTTTTTTCGTTTTTTGCACGAAAGAATTATTTCAATATTTTGATTTTCAAATGAAATGAGAGTTAATTAAACAACATGTGGCTCATTGCACAGGTCTAAATCAACTATAGTTTTTTGCCAAAAATTAGCAATTTGCTTCCGAATGGATTAATCGAATTAAAACAAGAAAGTGCATATTCGGTGCTCTGTCATTAATTTCAGATTAGTTGGGATCCTTCCTGAAGTTTAACCTGAGGAAAATTCAATTGTTTTTTATTAAAGACAATTTGAGATAAAATTATGTAGTGAACTGAATTTATTTTAAATTAGACAAATTGAGTGAAAACAAAATAAATCTAAAATTTGATATCATAAGAGTTCATGTTCCTGATACATCAATGTTGTTGTCTCCCCGGTCGTAAGTAAATTATTTAAATTTTATTTTTCTCCTGAATAATTTTTCTTAAACTGGACTTAAGGGGAACCGGAACCCCTGTGTCTATATGAATTTTTAGAAGTGTGTTTTCTCCTGTAATTACTATTTTTTATTCATTAAACTACTTCATTGACTCCACAATGCGACAATCGAGTCGATAAAGTAGTTTCATAGATAGAAATTAATAATTATGGGAGAAAACACAATTCTAAAATTTGATATAGATAAAGGGTTTCTGTCTCCCCTTAAGACCAGTATAACTTTTTTGCTAATTAATTAGCAATTTGCTTCTGAATGGTAAATTAGAGAAGACATACCAGCCATGAAACCTTAATATGATTCCTAAATGTCTAAACTTTCACTGAACATTGATTAAACCTCTACGAAACCTTGGTGAAACTCTGACTAACCTCCGACTAAATCCCGACTAAATCCCAACCAAACCCTGACTAAACCCCGACTAAACTCCGACCAAAGCCTGGCTAACCTCCGACTAAACCATGATTAAACTTCGATTAAAGGCTTTTTAAGGCTACGATTTCAAAGCAAATGATGCGATCGTCACTATCTTCGAACTCGACCGAGAGAACATCCAAACGAATAGTTTAAGCCATAATTGAAACGATTTCGACGGTTATTTTTCGAATGATCGTCGAAAAACTAAATTTGAAAAAAAATCTCGCATACATACATACATACGGACATGATTTAAAAACAGCATATCCGAACTCCTGAGACCAAAATTAGTCATCGTCACACAAAAAAATGGAAATTTCAGACTTGACGAATACAATACTTCCATTCGGAAGCAAAAACCATTACTCACCATTATTCATCGGTTGAGATTGAGGACTAGCCTCGAGCTTATTTCGATTGCTGATGATGTCAAAATCATCGAGGTCACCGGAGGGACCCACATTACTGCTACCCTGTGCATTCAAATTGTTAAAACTAGACCCGTTCATGTTTCCAGTGAATCCGGAGGTACTCGGCGACGACATTGTCGTGGCTGGGGCCAGAGCCCATGGATCCACGGTACGAGGTGGTGAAGCTATAGTGGCCGGCGAGGGGGCTGGAGCTCGCCAAGGATCGACTGCTGCTGCTGCAAAGTCATCATCTGCTTTGAATTAGTCCGTTAAAAGTAGACAGAAAACTGAATTTAATAGAATTTAGGTGTTCCAACAATTTTTTCTCAACTTTTAGGTTTATGAATTTACCTGACGATCTTACGAATACATGCAGTATACAAGAAGAAAAAAAATTTAATAACAAAGATGTATCTAATTCTATTTTTCAATAATTAATTTCAGTAGTGAAGTAGTAAGAACCGAATGCATTATGAGACTAGAACAAATTCACAGATTTCTTTGTCATTTTCGAAATACGTCCGGAAACTTGAAGAGGATAAAAAGACGTAGAAAAGGAATGTCCAAAACAATTTCGATAGAAAATTGCACGAACTAAAGCTGAATTCTGAAAATATTTCCGTATTATATTGAAAATTAAAAAATTATGATGTTTTATGGCATAAAATTGAATAAGATTTATATAATATTTATGACCCTATCTGAATTCATAAGAAAGTTAGTGATCAAATAGCAAATATTTTTAGTTTTAATAATTCTAGATTTATCTCGCTAGTAAATGTTTAGAACAACATGTCACAAATTTTTTTTTGTTCCCGGAAAATTTTCCAACAGAAAGTTTTTTTAGAAATTCCCGTCCCGAACAACTCATAATCCCGATAATTCCATAACAAAAATCCTGACTAACTTTAATCGATTGGATGTCATTGACTTTTAATGAAAAACGAACTTACTCGGACGTTGAGGAGGAACAGGGGCCCATGGATCTGCCGGTTGCACCGCTGAACTCGTTGTGGGAGCACTCCAAGGATCACAATTAGTCTGTAACAACAACTAAGTTGTCTAATTTGCACAATTACAATACACTTCGTCTAACTAAAAGAAAAATTCGTTTTTACTGAATAGGAAATATAAAACATGCACATGTTCGTGCAAACGTACCTCGCAGTCATAATAGCGAGATAGATCCAGAGACTGACATGCAGGTGCGAGAGAGAATTCAAGTTATCATGCAGTATGTGAGATCATGATTTTTTTTACGTTAATCGGGGGTGATGATGGGTTTACCTGAGGTCGAGGGGGCGGTGGAGCGATCGGTACACCCCATGGGTCCAGTGTGAGTTGGAGTGCTCCTCCACTAGCTTCACCTAGATTGACATCAAGAAGATCAAGCATGTGGCTTGCTTTTTCGGACGGCGGCGCTCTAAAAACAAAAATAGAAAAAAATTGATTCAAAACTGCCAGCAGAAGAATTAAAAAATAAAAAGTCGAAGGTATTTTCTCAAGAATTTTGGGATATAGTTGCATACTTCGAAAATATTTTTAGCATTGTTAAGTTCTAATTTTGAACTCAAGATGTTCTTGAGTCCAACTAAATTTTATACACTGTCAAAAATAGAAAGTTACTAGAAAATTATCGAGTTGAAGAGTTCAGGAGCATTTGCATTGGAAGTCTTCTTCTTTTTCAATATTTTGAAGTATTTTTGAGTGACAATACTCCTGAAAAATGCTCGAAGTAGTTCCGATTTCCAGAAACATTAAATTATGAATAATTTTTCACTAGAACTGAACAGCATTTCCTCTCATTTTAAAGAATTATTTGAAATTCAGTATATGTGTGCCCTACAAGTGCAATATTCCATTCGAAAAAAGTGAAATCATAATACTAATGATAATCAAAGCTGTTCCTTATGCATGGACTCTTGTGATGAATGTGGTGAGCCTAATAACTATGTCATCATCTTTGATTATTAATGACGTGAAAAGGAATCTAGAGAAGTTAAAAAAAATAAAACCTAATCTCAAGACCCATACAGATATTCTCTGTTAATTTTAGAAACAATGTGATGATTTATTCTTTTATTGACTGATGCACTGAGTCCTTCAATCTACTATTCTTTTTCAACCAAAAATAAATGATCGGATGGTTTACGTATTTAGAACATCTGTGACTAGTATCCAGCGACGTTTCAGTGATTTAATCCCTAAATTTCAATGACAAAACGACATGACGCTAGACTGTTATAACAAAAAATATTGTTCATTTACGGCCGAAAAAAACTTTTCAAGTTCATTTGATTGAAAAGTCATATTCGCCAGAACAGTTTTTTTTGTCTTAATAATGAAGTACACTATTTCGGTGTGATCTGTCGGAGGCGGACGTTCGTATTTGTTCGAATTCGTCTCATATGAGGAACAAACATGAATCTCCATCTGAGACAGATCGGGCGGAACAAACATCTGAAATTCATCCGAGACAAATCCTTCATATTTGTTGGACGACCTCCGTCTTCATATTTGTTCCAACAAATATGAAGACGGAGGTCATATAAATATAAATTAGAGTAGTGTAATAAACTCCAGTTGACTGGTTGCATCTAACGCGGAAAAATGAATTTTAAAAGCCCAAAAAAATAATTATTCATCATTGATAATTTTTTACATGAATTGTGACTTCAATAAGTGTAAGAAATTGATGCATCAAATGCTTTCTTTAATTTTATTTGTTAAACGAAACAATTGTTGCTCTTTTGTCCTGGGCTCCTGGGGTATTTCGATTACTGGCAACTCCGTATAATCGAAAATATTTCTCTACCTATGACACAGCCAGTGTTCAACCAACGCAATGCTGCCAGATTTACATCAGGGGTGGCCATCAATATTATATTTCGTCAATATTAAAAGGATTTGCGACTTACATTACTAAATGTTCAAATATACTCATCAAAATTAAAAAATAATATAATATTAGTAGTTTAAATTTGCGATTGATGACCAATTGAATATTTGATAATGTTTTGTAAATTTTCCATTAAGTGAATATTTTTAATTTGTTAAAAGGGATTATCGATTAACCAAATAATCGGCAATCTTCCTACCTCAATTATTGATTAATGAAATAGTTAAAATATGACTATTTAAGTTGATAATTATTTGAATAATTAAAAGTTTAAGAGTGATGTTAACTAATTGACGGCTTCAAGATTTAACGGTAATTATGATTTATGAGTATGGCTATCCCTGATTCACAGAATACGCCATTTCGGGGCACGCAGAGACATAAATTATTTATTACCAAAGATTGACACTGACGATAATTTCCGTATTAGGATGGAAGTTGTAAAAATTTTTTCTTCTCGTATACCCTTTCGGGTCTTTACGATTTGTTCCCTTCCCACCCCCCTCAACCCTCTGTACCGCATTTGCCGAAGGGAGGGAAAACCTCATTCGAGGGGAAAAACCTGCCCTGGTACAGTCGTCCCTTTTTGACGGGACTACCGCTCGGCAGTGAAACTGTGAGATTAAAGCGCTATAAATTTTGACTGCCGGTGCCGGGAAGCGAACCCGGATCATTGGCATACGAGTCTAGCACTCTAACCGCACGGCCACTACCGTCGATTGGATGAAAGTTGTATTTTTTTCAGATTTTTCAAGATTTTCTCCAGATTTTAATTTTCTCTCAAACCTCAAACAGTTTATTTTCTCATCAGACTGTTATCTATGCAGTCAAAAATTAACTATTATAAATAATATGAGAGTGCCGATTGAGCACAAACTCAAATAAAATGCTTCTATTCGTATTAAATTCCGTTTAAAATTCATTTCAGATTCGAAATAAATCTTCAAAATTCGAATTGTGTTTATACCACTTTCAACATTTTTAATGATGGAAAATTCGAAATTACGAATTGAAAAACGGTTTAAATTATAGAGATTTGTTCACTCACTTGAAGTCTTGTTGACTTTGGCTCAACGCAAGCTGCAATCTAACGTCGTCACTGCGTCTCCTCTGCTCCTCCTGCTCAGCCTCTTCCCTTGACATTGCCAATGCCAATTGTAGCTGCAGCTCCTCCTCACCAACGGTCAGCGGCCGAGCTTTTTCTAGTTCGGCTGATCGTTATTGTATACATTGTGCAATAGAAATAAGTAGCTAATTAAAAAAACCGAAACAAACCCAACACAGCCTCTCACGCGACTCGAATCTATTTCTGATAATCATTACTAAGAAAATATTAACTCAAAGATGCATGCTTGAAATTATATCGATAAACGGAGCTAAGTAATTCAATCAAGAATAATGAAAATGATACGGGGAGGTTATACTAAGAGAGTTTATACTTACGTTTAGGCTCAGAATTTCCTCTGTAAGGCTCCCAATCTGGTGAACACATCTGAAACAAAAATTGTGAGTCAAATGAGGAATTTCAATGGATCCTTTGCGTTACATGTCATTTTCTACAACTACTAGGGGGCTACGCCCCCTGCTCACTCCGCTTGCCAACCCCCATCTAACCCCCCTTGACCCTTATTCGGACCCTTGTAACCGTTCATTTTTGACACTTGGTTTTTGATGCTTCATTTCTGACCCTTAATTTTTGAGTCTCAATTTCGAGTACTAAATTTTCATCTCCAGGAGTCAATTTTGATTGTGATAATATCGAGAGAGCCCCATATGACCTCATGACCATTATTTTGACCCCAATGATCCTTATTTAGACCCTTAATCTGACCTTCGTGACCCTTAATATAACCCTCATGGCCCTCATTTTAACCCAAGGAAAAGATTTAGAAGAATGAGCGAATGGTATGTGAATTCAGAGGGGTTTTCTGTGGTTGTGGAGGTTATGCCTGGGTTATCTCTTTTGCTTTGTTCACCAGGTTTTTAAACAGAAAGTTTCATTCTTTGCAGTTTTACATAACTTGAAAAATGGCATCAAAAATTTTTTTTCGTGAGAAGACCCGGTAAACCGTGATTCTAACCTCGCTTCGCTCGGTTTGATCGCGGTTTACGGGCCTTCTGACGAAAAATTGCATTCATCACACAGTCCAAAAGTATTTTCTGACGAATGTGATTATAGGCCTCACCTTCGGCTCGGCCTACAAAGCCACATTCGTCAGAAAATACTTTGTGGACCTTGTGATGAAAATAACTATCATGTAGATTTTGTTTTTATTTTTATATAACAGTATTTTTTATTTTTGTTTTTGCATTTTTATCTACTATCGGTATTGGATGTTGTTACTATTATGCAAGAAGCGGATGAGCGATTTTCTCATCGCGCGCCTCAAGAATACAGTTACAAAAATGTAAAACAGTACTTTAAAGTAGTATAAACAAACTCCAGTTGAGTCGTTAAGTGTAACAAGAAAAAATAAATTCAAAAAGCCAAAAAAAAATTATTCATCATGGATGATTTTCTCATGAATTCTAAGTTTGGATTATCTTTCGAACATGATCTGGGTTGTTTTTTTTATTTTGATAATCTAAAGTAATCTCCGATTGCTATTCAGTTTTACATAGCCCTGGAGTCTCCAAAAATTATGATTGTAATTGTAGGAAATTGCAAAATTATAATAAGGCCACAACCTTTAGGTTTTGATTAGAGATGTGGAACTACCGTCATTTTCCTTCTTGATCAGGTCAGACGTAAATGGCCGGATTCTGATCGTTTTCTGACTCTGACGAAATTTCTACATGATGTACCCCTCAATTGACAATTTTGGATTACGAAAGATAAAAAAATCCAGATGACATTCGAAAGATAGTACACCCGGGCCTTAAATGGGGTGAAAATTTCGGAAAGGTGTACTGGAAATTTCAACTAAAAATGTTTAAAAGTGTGGAAATCGCTGGACTAGTAAACTGGACTAGTAAATTGACGGTCTATATAGATGGAAATTGACGGTTAAAATTTATTCGGTCATTTCATACTTATAACCAATCATCATTTCTTTTTCTGGCTATATAGTCAGATTCTCAGTACGGTAATTGCCGGTCATGACGATCGTCATTGACGGTCATTTGATCGGTCATAGTTGTCACTCACATCTCTATTTTTGTCCCTTCATTTTGGAGTCTCAATTTCGAGTACCAAATTTTTATCACCAGAAGTCGATTTGGATTTTTATAATATAGAGAGATTCATCACTGCTGGATTATTCCTAAGAATGAATTATATTCCGAAAATAGAAAGAATTATAATCAAATTTTCAAGAGGAAAAAATTTCAAATTATGTGCAATTGAAAAGTGAATTCCAATATTCAATATTGATGATTTTTTTCCAATTTGTTTCGCTCATCATTTCCTCTTATTAAAGAATTTTCGATCACGAATTGTTAAAATCACTCAATTGTGCATAAAAATCGTTAAAAAAGATATTGGCAATTGGAGAAGATCACAAAAAGTCCACTTGGCTCCGCTCTCTCCGAAATTGTAAGAGTTTAAAAAGTTTTTACTATTTTCCTACTTTCAAAAGAGCAATATGAATTGAGGAATTTAAAAAGTGGGATGAGCTGACACGTTCCCAAAGCAATTAAACGCAATGAATTTCAAATATGGCTCACATCACCCAGCGATGACATAGTATCCAGTCCATCACTCCCAAAACCACTGACAGACTGTGCAAATCTCTCTTTAGCTTTGAGCGCTCTAGCACGTTCGTTCCGTAGTCTCTCATCGTCTTTCAATAAGGCCACTAATTGTTTAGCTTTCTCCCTCACATTGATTCCCTGATCCTTGGGGCCCTCCATGTGTTGAAAATCTTTAAGCGTTTGAATAGCAAAAATGTTCTCTTTACACTGCTGTGCAACTTTTTCAGATCCTGTTTTAATTAAATAGTCGAGGAGGACCAGGGCTTTGTAGACGTGTCGCCAATTTTTTCCATGATCATTCAGACGTTTCCACAGCATTTGCATTATTTCGGTAAAGGCCACTACGTTATACGTTAGATCGGCAATTTCTGCCATTATGGTACTGCTGGGGCCCCATGGATCGTTGCTCGTAGCCTTTCGGACTAATTTCTGAAATTCAACAAATTTTCCCATTAAATAAAATGTAGAACATATCAATAATTTATTCCAGTATTAGCAAATGGGCACCTCGTGCCCATCGCTAGATTAATTTATTCTATTCTATTTTATTTGATTTTATTTCAATTTCCGTCTTCGTAATTAGATTAATATCATTTTAACCATTCTTATTCTTATTAGATATATATTTTTTCCTTAATTCACAAGTTACACCATTGAATGAAGAGAAATTATGTTAAAAATCAATAAAAAGTGTTTTTTTTGTGATAAAAATATACACACAAAAAAAATCATTTGAAATCTCATTCGGCTAATAGAAAAATCTCTTCATGTATTCCTGCAAATTTTTAAAATCTATTTTTTCATATTATAAAAAGGAGATGAAAAAAGAATCAGAAAGAGATGATCGATTAGAAAATAAATTTTTCAGTGGCTGTATCTGTATATAAATTAATTGTGAAAAGAAGAAAATTATTCGTCTTCAACCTCAATTTCACACGAATATGGAATATTTTGAGGTAGATCTTTGGTATTTGTCATGAATCCAAGTAAGCATTGAATCCCTTATTACATATTTCAGCAGATTATTTTATAGTTTATTATGAATGCTCTCATCAGTCTTCATTTTTTCCTTGTTTACTGTTCCCACCAATGGTATTTTGCCATTACTTTGTATTTATTATATGATGATAATACTTTGTATAATCATATGAAATTTCGAAAAAAACTTTGTTCGTATGTTGTATCAACATCAACAAATAATTGTTGAGGAATCCAGTGTATGAATGAATGCACTTCAATCCTTTAGCGAGAAATGCAAAACCCACTGTTTCACAAGTATCTTGGAAATTAAGGGTAGACCGCGCTGAAGTTTGAAAGTTACTAATTTTTTATATTCAAAAAAATGAGAAAAAATCGAGTTTGAAAGTTTTTCATTGACGGCATATGGTGTACAAGCACAAAATCTTCAGAATAGTACCCTTACCAGGATTCCTGATGGATTCACTTCAATTTTGGTTACTATCTATATAATATCGTGATGAAAAAAAATATGTGAGCTTTTTTGAAAATTACAATTTTTAAATTTTTTCCATTTTTTTACTCCGGACTAGTAGAGATAATAATATTGCAGTATGATACTAATTGAAGGCCGTGACACATTAATAAAATATAATTAACAAAAAATTTTTTTAATGTAGCTCATACTAAAATACGATGGTCTGTCCCAATTCTGAGAAAAAAATAGAAAAATTTGAATTTTTTAAAAAAACTCACATTTTTGTCGTCAATATATTATATGTGGAAACCAAAATTCAAGTCAATCCATCGAAATTCCTGGTAAGGGGACTATTTTTAGGATTTTATGTCTGTACAGCCAGATGCCGTCATTGGAGAAAATTGAAACTTGATTTTTTCTCATTCTTTGAGTACAAAAAATAAGTACCAAAGCCATCTGTATGATAGAGACAACTCCTTGCAACGTTCAAGTTTCATCGCGGTTTCCCTTTAATGAGTTGAAAACAAGTGTTAAGATACCAATTCTCCACACCAACGTCCCCTGACGAACTCGTCTAAACCTCTCCCTGACGAAAATATTTGCAAAGAAATTCGCACCGCACTATCAGTAAGTTGATACTTATGCTTCTCACCTGAGCATTGCTATAGTTGTGAGCAAGATTCAATATATCACGCCTGATTCCCGCCAAGTTCACCTGCATGACATCCTGTCCTTGTCGTCGCATCTGTAACAACAATAATAAAGGTTGCATTAATTAATTAATGCAAACGATCCTCATTAGTTACTTTAGACACACCTTCACAAATTTTACTTAAAATGTATCTTCACAAAATCAGTATCACTATAACCCAGAAAACAAAACAGTTTCAATGCTTATTATCAGGTAAACGCGGTAATATCTTATCTTACAGAATAACTGAAGATACTAATTGAAAATAAGAACAAAAATTCATTAATAAAAATGAAGTAATTAACCAATTAATTACCGTTGATACAGTTTGCGATTAGATCGCAGGAACTGATCCCAACAAATTCATTGTGTCTCCCAAGGAAAAAGAATCTATATATAGCACTATTCAGGGTCAGTGATTCTCCTTTCAATCAATGTCAACGATACAGGTCATTGTCACAAGAAAAAACAATATCGATTAAAACTGTTAACGATATTAAACTAAATACGAAATAAATTCTCAGGAACAATGGGAAATATGAAGAAACTCGGGGGTTTATCTATACATTAGGAGAGACTCACAATCCACTCAGTGTACGGCTTCTTCGAAGAGGTTTAACTGCGTTACATACAATTGACCATGAACCTATTGATTTCCTCTTCTTTCCTCGAAATCCCTCAATTTGTAGAATAAATGACATTGATGAGTAATGTATGGGAATATCAATCATTCTTTTATGATTTACACTGTGTTGATTCGTTCAGGTTTGAAACTCTCTAAACAATGTTTACGCGAGGGTCGCTGTGATTTGAAGATATTTACAAGATTATTTAAACGATTCTAGTCCATTATGGATAATTTTTATGAAATTTCAGGTGAGATCCCATAATTTTGCTTCCGAACGGAAGCATTGTAATCGTTCAAATTTAAGGTTTGGATTTTTCGTGTTATATCGACCCATTATGATCCAAAAAGTCCGGAAATGCAATTTTTAGGCCATCTCCGGACGTATGTATGTACACTGTAAGAGAAAAATTGACATATCAAAAAAATCATTTCTTGAGCGAAAAACATCACATATATATTTGATTAATATACGGTAAGCTTCAGACAAGAAATCGGTGCTCTTCGGGCCAAGGAGGAAGTTACTGATTAAAAAGATAAGGTCTTTTTTCGAAATCAAATGATATTCCTTCAAAGACAAGAATAGTTTGACAAAAGGAAAAGAAGATATTGCTTCCCTTCGAACTCAACACGATTGAACGACGGTTATATTTTTTAATATCTAGAGGTTTTCCTCTGCATAAACTCTCTATTCGTTTAATATGAAAGTCTCTGATTCATGATTCATCGAAACTTTTAATATTTGTAGTCATTTTCTCATCTTCTGACACGAAAAAACCGAATTCTTGTGGCAAGAAATTTTGACTTTTTCATGAAATGTTTATGTTCAAGTCATGAACCCTTCACCGAAATCTGAAATTGTCTGACACATTATCCGGAATTCTTATCCCAACAAATTTATACTCAAGAGATTAGATATTTTGCGCAAGAAATTAGTTTTGTGATATTATGACGATATTTCTCTTAGTGTATGTGCCTACGTATGTAAACTAATTTTTCTCCGATTATTTGCTAATGAACCGATGGAATTGAATTTTTTTTCTTTTCTAATTGAAATTTAATTCATTTATTAATTTTTTAATTTCTTTAAATTTTTCAAAAATTGTTTTTTTACGATAACTAAAAAAATGTTCTGGATTGTTTCAATGATGGCTAATCAATTTTTGCGAATGTCCTTTGGTCGAGTTCTAAGATGAAGGCGATAGCAATAATAGTTATTTTGATTTATTTGAAAATTTGCAAAAATTCAGTATTTTTTGAAAATACGAATTCCTGTGATAACTTTAGAAATCATGCTTCAAATGAATTCATTTATAGCTTAAAATGTTTTTTTAATGCCATTAAGTCGAAGTGAAAAGATGATTACGATAACTATATAGGTTGATTTGATTTTTATGATGATTGTTGAAAATTTCGAATTTTTCATGAATTTCTCTGAAAGTGAGCTTTTTGAAGGTTCCTTCAAATGTAATGTTTCAAATTCATTCAATTATGTATAAATAACATTTTTCTATTGACATTTTATCGAAGGCTGAAGGGAGAGTTAGTAGAACCGTAAAAAATACCATTGGTTGTAGAGGAAAAAGGGATAATAAGAAAAAAAAGAAATGTTATTCACTTTAATAAAATGAAATAAGCAATGAATTATATATGATGGAAGGAAATGATGTGCGAAATAACCATTCTCAAGCATATTTTCCACTTCTTTAGAATGAATAACATTAATCATAATGCATGAAAATACCAATCATTCTTTCATTTACGGCTCGATAAAACATGATTGCGCGATCTTTATGATTCCAATATTCTGAATAGTTTTTTTCATAATACTATAGTCAATTAAAATGTACTTTTGACATTTATAGATATTTGTAGTTATTTGAACGATTTAAATTCATCGTGGATGATTTATAGTGAAATTTGTGTGGAAATTTGTGTGGAGTCACGTTTTTTTTGCAATTCATGATAATTTTTCATGAGAAAGGTCTGACAATTTTCTCTAAACATTTTGCTGTAGAAAATATTTGCGGGATGATCTGTGAGTTCGGTTATTCTGAACATATGTCCTGTCATTATTTCCATTCTCAATTGGTCTACCATTTATCCTCGAAATTCTCTCAATTGTGAACTTGAAAAATTGATGAGTAATTCGAGGAAATTAATCATAACTTGACATTCTGCGTCACCCTAAGATTTTTGCGTTAACTACTCTGGTGAAAAGAATCACGTGATAGTGTTTATCTCGATCATTTAACTCTTTTGTCATCATTTTTAAATTGAATGAAAAAATGGAAGACTGAAAGGTCATCGAAATTGAAGAACTATTGTTTCAAGCTGAACAGCCTTTCCGGAATTCCATGGGCATGTTGATTTTTAAAATCTCATCAAACATGAAATTATTCCAATACCAAGTTAGAGAGAAGAAACCGAGACATATTTCCTGTTAGAAATTCCTTGAGCTATGAAACCATCGCCCCGACATTAAATTTCTCTTGTGATTAAGAGAATAAATTACCAATACCAGAAAAGTTTCAACTGAACCATTCTCAGTGCAAACCTAGGAAAAAAATCGAATCACGTGAGAATCTTTATCATCTCAACCATCTAAACATTCCCATTCCCATCATACCTCCAGAAAAGCCTAGAAAGTCATTATTGAACCGTTTCAACCTAACTCTTTTCGAAATTACTCCAATACCAAGTGGCATTAAGAGAAAATATCGAAATATATTTCTTCTTAGAAATTCCTTGAGCTATGAAAACATGACCCCGACATGAAATTTCTCTTGTGATTAAGAGAACGAATTACCAATCCCAGAGAATTTTCAATTGAACCATTCTCAGTGCAAACCTTGGAAAAAATTGAATCACGTGAGAATCTTTATCATCTCTACCATCTGAACATTCCCAAACGACCATCATACCTCCAGAAAAGCCGAGAAAGGCATTATTGAGGCGTTGCAGCCTCTTCTCCTAAGAACTCTTCTAAAGCAGCCAAACAAACAGTTTCCTAAAAAAGTCATTAAACAGCACAACACGAATAAACGACCTCTGCCTCGTTCATTGCCTTCGAGACGTCCCCAACTACAGAAATAAATAAACTTGTACCCCAACTCACTTGCACCTCAACTCAAATAAAACCACAACCACTGCTTCTTTATCCTATCTAAAACCTCTGACAACTCACAAACACGAAGAAACTCAACTCCCAAAAAACCATTCACTGATATCATATCTTCAAACATGTAATACGTCAATTACCCGTGGTGACGTTATGTCTTCAGGGCGTCTGAGGTGTTTTTCATCAAGATTTTTCTTCTATTTCTTGGAGAACATAGCGGAAGTGCAATAAATAACATGAATTAGTGGAACGGTAAATGGAGTAGAGATACTCGCCACCCACACGCTCCAAAAAGGAGAGAAAAAATAGTGGAGAATATAAAGTAAAAATAAGAGAAAATAGGTTCAACGTGAAATCCAAGTGCATTGGACTCTGAATGATTTTTTTCCTCATCTGATTCTTGGGATGCTAGTCTCGAGTATCTCATCATCAGTAAAAAATGAACGGTATTTGCTCAACTGGAACTCACCTTTGGGCTTATTTTAATAACTACTTTGATTAATTCAGAGTCGATTAATTTTTCCGTGTGTTGATGATCTCAAGGTGCTTTTTCGGTTATTAACACGAATATAAAATTTTAATTTGATGTTTTTCTGTATAAAATAACACGGGACGACTATGACAAGCCCATTCACTGTTCACGGATTCACTTGTGTGACCACCGTGGAGAGACAGGAGAAAAATTAATGATACTACGGTGGCAAGATGGCGCTGAGACTTTTCCTGGATATAGTGGAGCTCATTCGCTGGAAAAATTTGGATAAATGTCTCTTATTGGAGGAAATTTCCCTTGATTTGTGGGGTGAATCCAATGGGAATCAAGGATTTCTCGTGGAGACGATGCTCCATTGGTTGGAATTTTCTTCCTCATGACTATTAGAATTTTCTATTTCATTGATTGAAGATAAAAAATCAATGAGCGAATTCTGTCTTACCTACCGAGGAAAATCCAGGGAATTTTCTTGTTTCATCACTTCAAGATTTGTCAAAATGTATGATTATTCAATGTTTTTATCATTTTTTTCACCATTTAACAAATTAATTTGGAGGTTTTCTTTTGATGAATAATTGAAATCTAAAATTGTAATAATTTACTAGGGCATTTGATTTCCGCCGAACGCCATTGCGCGGTAGTGTTTTGGTCCTAAATAAAAATGGCTGACCTCGGTGTATTGGCAAGATACCGCAGATATTCGTGAATTTGTATTGATGAATAAATCCACCGGTGATTGTAAACACCTAGATCATTAGCCTCTAAATGATCAATCGATCGTTGCTCATCTCAATAATTAGTGACCAGTGATTGAAGAGTGATTGTTCACAGAAGAAAATAAACATCGTAGTGAGGAGATAGTTCCCCTCGGCGCGACGACCCAACATATCCACATACATACGAAAAAACATTGAGCCCCAGAAGTGCAGAAATTCGACAAATTTTGTGAGTACCAGCATCAATCTTCTGTTGCAATTTAATTTATAAAGAATGATTGGTGATTATTTAATGAAATCGATGGGTTTTTGAATCGATCCAGGTGAATTCATTGGATTCTTCAACATACCCATGTCGCTAGGTTATAGTTCATGAACTCGGAGGGCTTACAAATGTTGATGATGAGACAACAATCGTGGTTGACGCTCGAACAATCAGCAAGAAGTGTCTGTCGAGGATTTTAGATTTTTAAATTGGTGTTGGAGAAATGGCTAATGCCGAGTTTGACGCGGAGCTCTTCGAGAAGAAGCTCCATACTCTCAAAGACTCGCAGGAGTCGATACAGAGTTTATCTTCGTGGTGCCTGGAGAGACGGGAGCATCACAAGAAAATTGTTGCAACTTGGTTGCAAGTGTTGAAGAAAGGTAAGGGACTCCCAATGATTCAGTAAACTTCTGTTTTGGGGAGAAGTTGAAAGGAGAGGAATAGTACACAGAGAGAAAAAACAGAAAAGTGCGTGAATTTGTAAAAATATCGATAACTTTCGGCAAGTTTGCTCCAAAAATTTGGAAAATTGGCGGCATTCTGTTACCCCTTAAACAAGTCTTACTTGTGCCAAGAAAATCGTCTATTCAAAATTATCAAAAATAGATTTTTTTGTTCCAAACAGGTGGCGTAAATTGTACACTTTTTACCTTTTTTTAAATATTCATAATTCAGAAACAGATCTATCAATTGAGCTCAGTCTAGACTCGTCACAAAGGGGAAGAATTGTTCTTTCAATTGAGAAACAGAATTATTCCACTTCATGAATAATTCAACACGTCATGGACATTTCGAAAAAAGTCAAAAGTGTCCATTTTACCCCACCCTCTCCTATTGCAAAAATATATTTAGTCTTTTCGAAAAAAAGTTATTCTCTGTGCAAGCGAGCAATGTAATTTCTAGCAGTACTTCGTTATTCGACACTCCCATAAGTATTTTGCTCCCGACAAATGCGCGTTTCATATGAAAAGAGGTATAGTATATTGTCGTTTCGGTTATTCAATAATCACAGACAAAAAATTAATTCTCAAATGAAATAATAATAATGATATAACAACAATTTTATAACTTTGGGACAAAATATTTCTTGATAAACTTTCCTCCATAAAAGATATTTTTATCCTGGAAAAGCACTGTCTTGTATGAATGATCCGCCAAATATTTCGTTGTTTCCAAAAGCAGAGCAATTATTCATGTTTGAGATTTTCAAAGTCGAACCAAACAATTGTTTTCTTGGTAATTTTCAACTAACGATTTTGTTGGCCTAAACAAGACTTGTTTGAGAACTTGTTCGTTTTTCTCTCAGTGTTAATTGTGCACCAAGGGGGGAAAATAGGATACTCCAACTCGTGTGTGGATTGGTAAACAAGCGGGCTTGGTGTCCTGTTTTCCTTCCTAGATGCATACATTATTTTTCCTCATGTTTTCACGGTAAAGATCAATTTTTCTTTGTAAATTCACGAAGAAATTTGGGTTGCGTCATTCCAAGGATTATCGAAAACAACAGAAATTCGAGGAATGAAATAGTATTTTTTTGGGGTGTTGCGAGGGCTTTTTTTACTCGTATGACGTTGGCACCACATTGACTGTCCAACTACACAAATAAAAAATCCCCAACGCAACAGCCCGAAACAACATTTTTTTGTGATTTTCAAATTTCTGAGTTGGGGAAATATGCAATATCAATTGACCTTTTCATCCTCAGTCACTAGATTTTCGGACACTTTTTTCCCATGTTAATTTCCCTAGGAGTTTCGAACACTTTTACGGGATTTCTATAATCATAATTTTTGATGGCTGAAATCTATATTATCTTAAATGTCAAATATTTCTCAGAATTTTTGATCATTTTTCCGAAGATTTTTCAGTTCGATGAACGGAATAATCCTAGATTTTCAGAATGAAAAGATCTATTCGCAGATGAGGAACCGCGAGAAGCAGTACAGACCCACACGGAAACATTTATATTTTGAAAAATATATAAAAAAATATCTTAAATTGGCCCAATTTATGTAAAAAAATACATAAAATATATGTTTTATTTATATTTTTTATATATTCTTTATAAATTTGACAAATGTATGGAATTGGCCCATATCTATGTTTTAAATATATTTTTTGATGGGTCGGGGGGGAATAAGCCACTTTCCTTTCTTCATTTGGGGAGGAAAATCGAACTTTCCATGCAGATATGACGAACAATAATTTCTTTCGCAATTTTCAGCATTACAAGAAATGTCCTGAGATTTGTTTTTTCGTTCTCGTTTTCAACAGTTCACTTTTTTAGATGAGTTGTTTTGTGAATACCTGCGAAGCTAATTCGTTTGAGAAGAGATAGGGAATTATCTTTTTGACTGCAAATTTTGCTAGATACAACATTTCACTCCTTTGAACATTTATTCTATGAATATTTCCGGAGATAAGGAGTTGCCCTACAAAATGTCCAAAGACATTTTTTGTAGTCCATACAATTCTATACAAAAATTATTCTGGGATGTTTCTTTAAACTTAGACCTTCCAAAGATAGCAAAAAATTCGTCAATTAGTTTTTTGTATAATCGAACAAGTGTGAAACTTCAATGCAGATGAGTTTATAAATATCCCAGAAACTTGTGGGTTAAAGGACATCTACAAATATTGGAAGGTATATGATTTGTGGGAACTCTGATACCAATGTAAAGTATGAGGCCATTTAGTAATGAATAACAGTTTATTAAATGAATTAGAGCGAACGGACAATCGTTCTTGAAGGTGGTTTAGAGGAAGGAAAAAAACAAATACGCAACACTATTTATAAAAGAAATTATATCTAAAATGAAGATGCTATTGAGGTTTTTGCCTCGAAACATCTTGTTTCTAAGGTATTTTATAAAATAATTTTTTTAAAAAGAAGTCACATCTAAGAACTTTATGTAGACCAATTTGGAAAAATCTCTGATTCTTCTAACTTCATAAATAAATTTTGAGAGATCTCTACAAACAATGTCTTTCTAAATTTTTCTATGAATCTTCCATTCGAGAATATTCTCAGAAATATCTGGCAACTAGTTTTTTCGAAAAGAAATGGATCTTAAAATTTCATGCAGGTTTATTAAGAAATATTCTGAAAGCACTAGGTTTGCAGAAAAATCTCCAAATATACCTTACAATAACCAAAGTAATTTACATTTTCGCTGAATTTCTTCCATTTGAAGCTATCGTCGAACTAATCATTCAATCTATTTCATGTTAATCCCTCATTGTTTTTTAATTTCTCCGTTCTCAGTGAAAGTTGAGCACAGACTGACGCTCTTCTACCTCGCTAATGATGTCATTCAATACTCAAAACGAAAAAATTACGAGTTTGTCGAGTCCTGGGGCACAACCCTTCAACGAGCCACCACTATGGTCCGCGACGAAAAAGTAAAACACCGGATTCTCCGGATTTTCAAAATATGGGAACAACGTCAAGTCTACGACGAGGAGTTCCTCACGGACCTCTCCGGCCTCATCTCAGCCGCCCCAAAAAAAAAAATCGATCCTCAACCAGTCAACATGCCCGAGGAGTTCCAGGCTGCCCTCCTGATCTCCACGATGCGATCCTGCTCGACCCTCGAAACTGCCACTGACGCTCGTCTGAAAGATCTCCGCGACAGTAACATCGACATTGACAATGCCGAGGAACTCTGCGCCTCCTTGAAAGACCGAAGAAGAGTCGAGGACGCAGAGAAGGAAGTGGAAACGGCAGTCAAGAACATCGAGAATTACGTCCGAGCGCTGGAAGCTGAGATCCGGGAACGAGTGCAAGTGCTGGAGCTGTTGGAACAAGCTGATCAGTTCTACGAGACTCAAAGGGGTGAAGTCAAAATCGTAACCAACGCGTATCGAAATTTTGGCAGCAGAGTGAAAAACCTGAAGAAGAAATTGGACGAACTTCTGCCAACTCTGACTTCTCCAATTCCATCTCCGGATGTGAATGCACCTTCACCGAGTCCTGACAGTGATATTGAGCTCCCTGGGGATGATCAGAACGTGAGTTCAGTGAAGGAGGTTGCTCCACCATCAATGTATGGATCTTACAGCCAGGATTATGAACCCTTACCAGTGCCAGCGCCTGATACCTCACAGGGGAACAGTTCCAATGATTTCACGAGTAATTTTTCGTCGTTCATCGGGGGCAATATAGACTTTGACATGAGGAGTATCTTTAATGATAAGAGTCCTGGAGGTAGTCAGATTTATAATGAGGCGATGCCCATTGAAGTGATCAATATGAGGCCGTCCAAGGGGGCTGCTGGGGAGGAATTCCCGTCAGGAAGTTTCTTGAAGGTTCCTGAGGCCAACAGTGCTACTAGTTCTGGGGGAATTCCTGGACTGGGGCTGGATCTGCCTGAGCCGAGGGCTGAATCACCTCAGAGGCCGGATTATACGCATTTGGAAAGGCAGGTGGGGACGACGACACCTAGGATGGGCGGGGCACAGGGGGAGAGAATTGGAGGGAATCATCAGATTGGGCATAGCACGCCCTTGGCACGTGGACCTGGGTACTCAAGAGAGCAAGGGGGATTTGAGGGAACTGCGAGCTCTGTTAATCCTCTGCCTCCTCCGCCACTTCCTCCACCGATCTTTCTGGAGGAGGAAGGCTGTTATAATAAACTACCGCCTAAATTTCCGACCTGGACACCTGCTAATGAGGGGACGAAGGAGGGGGCTAAGTGGGAGACGGGTGAGTTTTTGGAGCTGTTCTATTCTGAAAGGATAAAATAAGATGAGGGAATAGGGAACTTTTGAAGGCATGCATTTTTTTCAATTTTTTTATCTCAAGTTTCGGTCTTAACCCTTAACACTTAAGGATAATTAAGCATTTTCAGCAAATCTTATTTTTTCATGTTCAAGGAAAATTCTACATTTTTTTTGGCTAATAATAGAACATATGAAACTAACTTCGTTGATGTTAAAAAAAAATTAATCGCGACAGTCTCGCCAGAAATAAATGAACAAATTTTTCTTTATACACTGGCTCTTATGGGATTTATGTAGACATTTACAATTCACCTACTAGAAGAGTCTAAAAATAGAAATAAAAATAGAAGGTAATGTGTAAAACTATACTGAATCGAATAGCCAGAGAAAAATTTGGGGTACTCGGGCAAAAAGAGTACATATTTGAAAGATTCTATCCCATATAAGGGCATGTTAGCTCATGCCTTTGATGCATTTTGTCCACTCCATTTCTAAATAATAAAGGTGGCTTGGTGGATTGAAATTTTCCTTAAGATAAAGAGAATAACTTCATCTCTCAGTTGAAAAAAAAATCAATTTTTTTTTAATACTTGCGATTTTGGATAAACATCCTTAAGTGGTCGCAGCTCTTCATCGAACGTAGTTAGTTGCGCGGTAAGAAAATCACCGCCCCGTGTATTTTACGATTTCGAGGAAAACAAAGTTGAACAAAAAAAAAATTAATTCCACGTTTACAGCTAATTTTGATAATCCAAGAACTCGATTTGAAAAAGTGCAAAATTATGAAATTTTGAGGTTAAACATCGGGATTTTCAGCGAGTCGAGTATTCAGAAGATTTTAATAATTCATGGGTGTAAGTCTGGACCGAAAAAAAAAATGTTGATGTATTTCATGTTTGAAAGTAGGAGTACAAATTTTTATGGATTTTTCATTCACGAACTTTTTGTGTAAAAAGAAAAAAAACGGCGGGATTCCCTCATTGTGCGATCACTTAAGGGTTAAATGATTAATCTTTCATTTATGGACATTATAAATATTGCTTAATAATTAATAATTGACTGTGAAAGTTGAAGATTTCATATGCTTGAAATGAAAATTTCAAATCGTTAATGACATCACAAGGGTGGTCAAACGCTGGACCAATCACAGAATGGCTCGAGCCAACCTAACTCAATCTTCACGTACGCCTTATGCAATGGATGATGGCAATTCGCTCCTCTCCTCACATTCAACCAATGGAGCGCTACCTAGCATTACTTATGCCACTTTGTGACATCATGATTGAAATAATCGGTTTCAAAAACGTTTGGTTTTCAATCAATTGTAAAAAAATATCTAGGCAATATTTCTTTAAATTTTTTTCATTTAGGTATCTACGGGGTTTGTAGAATGGATGATTAGGGAAATTAGGGAAAACTGAGCTCCGTGCAAGTTCTCTATTCAAATTTCAGATCATTGTTTGAAAAATGCTCTAACGAGGATAGTAAAATTTCGATAGGGATTCATTTGGTTGAGGGTAATGAAAAAATATATGGTAAATATCCCAGTATCTGACTTTATCCCAGTAGCCGAACTTTTTTGAATTTTCAAAGTATCCTAAATCCTGCAAGTTATTATTTGATACCACACTTTGACAGACGATTCAGAGAAACGAAGTGACACACGTAAAGTAATTTTTTTGCCCACCAAAAGTTATGGTACTCTATTTGTACATTCAGCTAGGGCCTGAGCATTTAGTTACTGTAAACATTCACCTTACAAATAATATTTAGAATATTCACCTTACATGAGCATTTCCTGTCCTCAGTCAGAGTCGAGGATATTCGCCACAGATAAGGAAATTAGAAGTTTTTTTTTATTAGAAATTCATTTTGAAATCTAGCGCATTCGGCAGACACTTTTAGTGTACTTATATTGGAAATTCTATCAGTTGTCCGCTGATTCTATTGAACCATTTCACACCTTTTCAGCATGTTTTTCCAATAGATATATTTAATAGATAATACTTTACAGGTAAAGCCAATAGAATGTTATTCATGTATCAATACTCTATTAAGATTTTTCTGTAGAAATTCTTTAGCTTGGATTATCTAAATTTTTTATTCGACTTTCTTAATGAGACGAGAAAAAAAATGGAGTGAGAAAATTTGCGTCGAGACATTCTCATAAAAATGTCACGATAGAAAAAATTGTACGCAACGATCAAATTCTACAAATTTTTTCTATGACGTAGATTCTAGTAGACATTTTCTATTGGAAAGAATTGGCAGAAAGGTTGCGAAAATTTTCCGTAAAATCGGTGAAAAACTAACAGGATTTTGTAACGAATTCGCTAGATCTCTAAATGAAATTTTGTCATGCCTGGTCTCATCTTGTTTTCTTATTTTGCTACTAAATTATTCAAGAATTGAATGAATTATGGTGTTTTATGACGAGCTGGATTCATTAGTGAAGTGGTGAAATAAGATGAGTCGATTTCGTTCAAGGTTCAGTCTGATCGGACTATCTCAGCATTCAAGAGACATTGCGAAATCTTCATAATCACTCCCCTTGTCGCTCCCATTCTGCACTACTAAAACGGTCCTTAAGAGAATTATTCTATCTCTCTTGGATTGGAAGATCGGAACAAATCCGAGCTTGAAGATACATCGTCTCATATTATTACTTTGCTCCCGATTGAATCACGAGTAAAAATACTAAATTGGAACTAATGAGGCTTATCAAAATTTCAATTTTATTCTTTCTTTGACGTTCATTGGGGATATTAGAAACCACATATTCATTAATTTTTATCGACAATTGCGTACGAAATCTTATTTAAGGGGGAACCGCTCCGAAACTTGAAACTCTGCTGAGGCTAAATGGATCTATTGAGAGACTTTCTATGTGATGAGCCATCCAAAAAAATGGGAAACATGTGGAGTTGAACCCGTTTTCAGTTAAAAAAATCATTTATCGCCTAGTGACATAATATACTATTTTTGTCATTCCGGCCGTAGGCAGAGATTCACGGACGCGGAGCGGAAAAATATTGTTCGTCATACGGCCAAAAAACACTTTTCTGACGAATATGATTGCAGCCCTCGCCTTCGGCTTGTGCTGCAAACCTCATATTCGCCAGGAAAGTTTTTTTCGGCCTAATCACGAAATATACTATTTCGAGATTAGGGCTCGTCAATCCTGGACCGGTCCCCTCTATGTCAGCATATTCCTTATATTGATAACACCTACTGTTAGAAATCTTGAACCCCCTTCCCCCACTTATGCTTACGTTTCGGTAATACTTAAAAGCCTCCTTGTACCGTAAAAATGCTTCATAGATCACAATTTTCATCCCATTCAAACCTGCTAACGTTCGTTGGATTCCGAAGAAGAAAATTGGGTATCTATTTTTTTTTTATTTCTAATAGATCATGAAAAAAATCTTTTTTTTCGATTCTATCTTTTTAGCTTGCTTTTCAATAACGTCTAAACAAAGGTTGCTTTTAGTTTTTGAGAAGTTTGTATATATCTTTTTTTTCTTTGGCGGTACAGGGAGGGTTGGGGGTGGGATAAGGGGAAAATCGTAAACATTCGAGAGGGTATACGAAAGTGAAAAACATTTTTTTTTCTTTGATTGAAATTACCTTCGATTCATCACAAGAAAATTTTTTCGGAACATTATGAAAAACCGAGCGAGGAGAGTCCTTTTTCATAAAGTTGATTGACAATGAATGATTGTTTTGATTGTTAACTTTTTAGTCGTCTTGCGATTGATGGATCAATCAATGATTTCCATGACTACGAAGATGTTATTGTGCGTTACAGCGCTCACTTGAAGGTGGTCGCGCGCGACAGTGCGCATGATTGCCTAGTAATCACAATAGTACATTAGAGTATACAAGGGCACAAATTTCGTTTTCAACGAATGAGTAGTTTACAGGTCGAGCCAAAGGCGAGGTCTGTACACACATTCGTTGAAAACGAAGTTTATTACCGAGTGCTCTATAATATTTTATGTCAAGTCGTGCAGAAGTCGAGTTTTGAGCACGCTGCGCGAAGCGCAGGGTGCGATAAACTCGACTTATTGCACGGCGCGACATAAAAAGATTTAGCGAAACGTCGCACTGTGACAATTTAATCAATGTGAACTTATTCCCCCACCATCCCTATGAACATCTGGTTGATTGGTAGAAAACTACTTTTCACACGCACACGTGATACATACTATTTTTTTGTGATACCTGCTGAATTCCCGGTTTAGTGTGGTAGTTGGTAAAAGTAGTGGTGTAAAGTGGTTGTTTTTGTGCACAGAATGCATAAAGTTAAAATTTTTGAACTTTACGCATACCGTGCGGAAAACAAGCACTTTACGCACACTAAACGGTGACGAAGAGTGAATTTTTTAGAACGGTGTTGCACAAAAATGATTTTTTCATCATCTAGAGTACACACACCAGTGTTCAAACTGGTCCAGTGATTGAACTAATTTATATATTTATCGTAGAGCAAATGTTCTATGGAGTGAAATGGGACTTTTGTTCTTTTACAAAACCAATATGAATAATGCATAATGTACCTAAATTCAACGAGACCTGGTGAAAATTTCCCAAATTATTGAATCTTGGTCTTTTGGTCATTGGTATTTGACGACTCTTATTTGTTTGAACACTGGACAGTTCACCCTATTCAAAATTTAAAACAACGGTTAACCAATTCCACCCTTTGGAGTCTAACGAACACTAAAAGAAATGTTTGAATCAGATGAAAATTGTAGTTCATGGACCGTTTTTAAGATAAAAACTAAAAAAATGAGGGTTTACAATGAAAAGTGGAGAAAATCGGTTTAATTCTACGTTTCCCAGTTTTTGCGTGCGAACGGAGGCATTAAAATCGTTCTATCTTTAGATTTTCTAATTTTGCTTGGAAATGATGCAGAATAATGGTCTGAAACGTAAAAATATAAAGTTTGACGACCATGTGTGTATGTATGTGGTCAACTTTTAGAAAATTGAAGAATTAAAGACTAAAATAATTTCAAACAATCTCAATTTTGTCAGATTACAAGTATTAATGAGGACTAACTCCGTGTTCAATTCCATCCCAATCGATCCAACCGTTTTGGAGAAATCGCCGTTTGTTTCTTAATCGTTTTTCGTAAACATCTCGAAAACTATCCAACCGATTTCAATCTTTTTAACTTCCCGGCCCAAAGGGAGGAAGTTATTTTATTAATATTCATCTGAATGTCTTCTACAGGAATGTCTTCTATGTCTTTCTTAAGGAATCAATCTAAACATGCATACCTGTTCGGCCAAAGTCTTCGAGATGTTGCCATTCTTAGATTTTTAAAAACCGCTCGATTACTCCATTCACCCATCAAGAATTTTCAAGTTTCAAGGCGATCCCCGCCTGAACAATTTTTTCATCACGCTGTGCGAAAAAGTAACTTTTCATCACTCTGTGTGTAAAGTGCCATTTTACGCACGCTCCACGTGCGCAAAACCCCGCTTCCCACTCATTGTGATGAAAAATCGGGTTCGATACTCGCGGGAAAAGTGTTTTTAGACCCATGGGATTATATCACTCGCCTTCAGCTCGTGCTATAAATCTCCCACGAGCCCAAAAACACTTTCCCGCCGCAATCTTATCGAAATATACTATTTTGCCTAAGACGTCCCTTTTCCACACATTGTGATGTAGAATATCGTTCGATACTCATGGGAAAAGTGTTTTTTGGCTCGTGGGATTATATCATTCGCCTTCGACTGATGCTATAAACCTTCCACGAGCCAAAAAACAGTTTTGCGCACTCGTAACGAAATATACTAATTTTGACACTGCTGTTACGTTCACCTCGTATCGAAAAGTGCCTTTTCGTTTATTCATAGTATACAAAATAATATACACTCGCCTTCGGCTCGGAAGGCAATCTTGCACGTGGGGGACGGTGATCTGTTTTCCAAGGCTCGGGCATGTAATGTACTATTTGTCTACTTGTAAACGAAAAAGGCACAGTTCGGCCACTCGCTGAACGTAACATCACTGTCAAAATAGTATATTTCGATACGAGTGCAACCGAATTTTCATGCGTGGGAAGTTGGCTGTCAATTACACGAGCTGAAAATTCCTGTCTCACATGTGTCGAACTAATATATTATGTCATCAGGTGATAAAAGTATTATCTGGCGAATGTGGCTTTATAATCCGATCCAAAGGCGAGGATTATGATCACATTCGCCAGATAATAATTTTATTGCCGTGTGACATACGATATTTTATGTCATTGGGCCCGAAAACCGCGATCTAATCGAGCGAAGCAAGGTTAGCATCGCGGTTTATCGGGCCTAATGACATAAAATATTTTTTGACAGTGATGTTACGTTCAGCGAGTGGCCGAACTGTCCCATCTTCATTTACAAGTAAACGAAAAGACTTTTGTTTACGAGTAAACGAAAAGACACTTTTCGGCACGAGGTGAACGTAGCAGCAGTGTCAAAATAGTATATTTCGTAACGAGCTAAAAAACATTTTTTCACGAGTGACGAGCAATATTTTTCATCACAATGTGGCGGACTTTTACACGCGGAGCCGAAAGTTCACTTTTCGTCACAGCGTGATGAAAAATATTGTTCGACACATGAGACAGGAATTTCCAGCCCGTGACGCTCGTGTGATTGTCAACTTCACACTCGTAACAATTCCGTCCAACTCGTATCGAAATATACTATTTTATTTTCTTCCATACGGTTGCAAGATGATTAATTAAAAGCTAAAAATTCATAAAACTCGAACATTTTGTTTTATAGCACTCAAGATTTCAATCGTTTTTCGACTTGGTTTTGATGCATATTTTGAAGTGGAATTGGTCAAATTGTGGTGTGCATTGGTTTACTCAAAAATTATGGTTTCTATCCTCAGGAAAGAATTCATGGTCAAGTGACAATGGTGAAACCGAGCGTTGGGAGTCCCCCAGTGAACCCACCTGGTCTAATGGTATGAGAGGCAAGCCCAATCTCTCAGAAACTCCGGAGTCTCCTCCGATCTACGAGAAATCGAGCTTTACAGATCCTGTGCAGTATAACGACTCTCAGACAGAGGAGCCCATCCTCAGCAGCGCTGCTGACGTAGACCACAGGGTCATACCAATTCCATTGCCCCCCGATACCCACCTCCCTCATCGTTTGATGAAAGTTGCTGATGTCGATCATCGAAATCTGATCAGTTTAATCGGCAGTCCAGCTAATAATTCAGCGAATTCTAATGAATCACAACCACCAACCGGTAATAATTTGTGGAGCGGTACTGATCAAGATTACAGGTAAGTCCAAATAATCAGGACAAATGAACGTAATTAGAAATTGCAAGATGACACTTTTTTGAGAATGAAACGAAAAAACTAAAAAAAGAAACGAGAAAGGAAAAATTAAATGTCTTCGAAAATGAGGAAAATAACAACTAAATATGAAATTAACGATTCAAGGTGAGAAGAAGCAATTTTTTATGCAATCATTTGGAAGCTTATGCAGGAGTTTAGAAGATTGTAGCAATCAAGGAACAAAAATGGTTTTCTTCCGTCAAAAATCTTTTATGGCGGGTTATCAAAAATGCACAGCAAATTCTAGACAAAATTTCTGGTTTGAGATTTTCACATTTTTAATCCATCCACGAAATTTCAAATAGAGGGTAAAAATCGTTTACGAAACAGCAATTTTTGGGAAATTAACATAATTTGTTACAGGAAAATGCAATTTTTCGACCAAAAAAAAAAACTGAAGAAAACTGGGACTTCGTGAACTATCATTCTTTGCTTTTATATCAATACGTTTGCAATTCTTTTTTATTGCCACATTGAAATTCTTTCTCATTATAGAAGGGATTGTCATGTCACTGATACCGTACCAAAAAATTTCGGTTAACATTTCCAAACAAAACGTTGAGATATCGAATTTCATTTTTCGGAGTAAAGCAACCCCGCCATAATAGGGTAAACAGGTCAATTTCCAGTCGGGGACTTGTTTATGGACGTTTCAACTTGCATTGAATATTCCATAAATAAAATGAACATTGTACTGATTATTTTACATTTCAATAATATCACTCGTGTATAATCATCTGATCAATTATTTTTTCTATTGATGGACATTTAATAAATAAAAAAAATGGCCCAGTCGTCTAGAAATTAGAGGTTTTCGCTGCATTCAACTATTTCTTAATATAATTATTCCTTGTTTTGTTATTTTCACTTTAAATAATTTTTTTCTGCTAATTAAAACATTCTTGAAGATATAGAAGCCATCATATCCCCATTTAGGCGATTCTTTTATTTGATATCCTATCATCCTATCCTTGAAGAAATTTGAAGAAAACAAACAAAATTATTCTTTCTAAAGGAATAAATGGAAAAATAGACGATTATTCTACATTGCAATTAACAAAATCAAAACTATTAATTTGGTTTTCATTCATTTACCGTTTCAGGAAACAATGGAAAATCACAAAAACAAACGGTATAGGCACAAATCCTAAAATCTCAGTTAAAACCCATGATTTTCTCCTCGAACGATGCAAAAATACATTTAGAAAAAAAAAGCTGAAGAGATTCTTAAACCACGCTAAAATAAATTCCATTATCTTCCAGGCGACAAAATCAACCCGGTGACATAGTAGAATCCGTGGACATGGAGATGTCGGACGAGGAGACGGATTCGAAGCAAAAAAATCGAATCCTCGTGGACGTCCGTGCCCAAGATCGTGACATGAGGCCAGGCCCCCTCCACCACGTCGACATGGACATGCGAGTGATTCCTCTGCCCTCCCCCATCCCACGCAATCCCCCACCAGACCTGCGGAACATGCACCCAGGTCCGCCACTTCCGCCCCTCCCACCCTATCGTCAAAACCACCCAGACTTCCCTCCAAACCATCCAAATCACCTGAATTTTCGAGGTAATCCCAATCTCCCACCCAATTTCCTCCCTCCACAGCCTGATTTTCCCCCCGATTTCCACCCGAATCGACCGGATATGTACGATTTTCAGGAAAATCAACATCCAGACTTCCACGATGATCGTCGATTCCCTCCAGATCACCTCCAGCAGCACCCACAGCATCACCGAGACTCCCCAATGTTCCTTCGAGGTCGAGGGCGTCCGTTCCCTCGAGGTCGTCGTGAAAGGTTCCCCGAAGGTCCACCACACCGTCGCCACCGGCCCCAAGACCAACTGGAGCTCCATCAGGAAGCTCCACCACCTGGAAGATTATCACTCCTCCAACCCCCTGAGACTGTAGTCATCCTGGATGACAATGGGATGCCAATAATGCCAGATATGAGTCAAGATGATTCTCGTGTACCTGAGGAGGTAATCAACGAAGATAATGAACGTCCAGGTGCTCAACCAAGCCCTCCAAAGGATTCAGAACCCTCTCATAATGATCCTGGAGATCAGAAAGAGCCTGAGACTCCTGGCGACTGTGAAGAGATCACAAGTGAAGAGAGATCGCAGGAGGGTTCATTAACTCGTGCTGACGAGCCTCCTAGGAATCTCTCGGAGCACCTGGAGGCTCTAATGAACTCAGGGAAGCCTGCTGGGGTCAATGATCTCAAGAGACAAGCATCCAATGGATCACTGGAGCAGTTGGAGGAGAATCAGATGTCTCCGTCAAGGAAGAGGGCTTTCATGCCCAATAATGGACCTCCAGAGCTTTATCCTGTCATCGTTTATGACTACGAGGGTCAGCATGGCAGTCCTAATTTCAGGGGGAGACTACCCACACCTGTCTCGCCAGCCTCTGTGAGTCCTTTCGCTCCCTGGAGGGGCGGCGGACATCCGCAGAGGGGCCGAGGGGGCTTTAGGGGGTCACCGAGGGCGCCCTGGATGGATAGGGGACCCAGAGGACCTCCCAATAATTTTTCACCGAGGGGGGGGAAACGAGGAAATCCCTTCAGGGGGAATAATAATGGGAATAATGGATTCAGGGGGAGGGGACGAGCTGGAAATTGGTAGATTTATTTCAGCAATGAAGTGGTGGCTAATAACAAATTCAGGAGTGGTATTGTGAAACACGACGGAGTGAACGAACTTTCCACATCTTGTTGATTATTGCATCATCTCAATAATTAATGATTCGAGAAAAACACGCCAAGAGATAGTTTATCGTTGAATTATTTTATGATGCTCGAACGGTCTCTTGACATTTGTGACTAAAATCATTTATTTTTGAGAGAGAATGTGCAGTTAACAAAAATGTTGAATTGATTCATTGTGGGTTTTCATTAAACTACTGAATTTTATAAGCATAAAATTATCGCGGTAATGAAAAAGTTTAGATATAAATGGCAAGACATATTTTTTTTGTTACAAATTTTCCGCAGTGACAGAAATGGTCCCTTGATGTTTTTTGTTAAAGTCAATTGTTATCGAGTTGAAAGCATAATGATAATTACTATTCATTGTTCGAGTGAAATCGACATCTGTCACGTTTGTAAAGTTACAATTATTATTACCACTTCGCTGAAAGTTTGATGGAAACTGGTGGATGACTGGAGTGTGAGGGAGCAGTGCTCTTAAACGTAGATTAAGACTTGTAAATAATTATAATTACAGGAAGGATTCGAGTTATAAGAATTTTGTCATTTTATGATTTAAATTAAGTGTAAGATATTTCGAAAGTTCTTCAGTTTCATGCGTACAAAATTGTGTGAGGGCTGGCTGTCTTTTGGTAATTGTTTTTTTTAGTTTCTGTGAGTATTTTTGAATTGTCATTTTTATTAAAATAATTGAAATTAAGGAAATTATTGAGGAACGTAGTGTAATTTTATAAGGTCATCTCACCGATGAGTGGGCATTGGAGAAATTCTCAATTGAGCCTTTTTTTGTTTGAAACCTCTTCACCTTTGAGAAAAGTCTTTTGATGTTTTCCCCCCAAACCTAATCATTTGTAATCATTTGTAAGATTTTCCTAGTAAAGTGGCGGAATTAAATAGGTCGATTTGACTTCTCAACTGATTAGATTAGTTCATGGAAAGTTTTGCAATTTTTTTGTCATAATAAATTTTATTACGCTCTGTGGAAGAGGATAATTATTAAAATACTCTGCTCTTCTCGAGTCAAGACAGTTTTACCACCTTTTATCCCTCCACAATTGAAATTCGTTATTAACGATTAACGACTTCACCATGGATTTACACCCATTTTACCCCATGACTCCACAAATGTCTTGAGAAAATTGATTGAAAAAACTGCATTTATTATTTTCATTTCAACAATACTTTCTTGAATTCATAAATATTCACAGAAATATCAAAACGAATTAACCAAGTTGTTTAATGGGATCAAAAACACAGTAAAGCAACCAATTTTAAATACACATGTGATTGTATATATAATGCGAGGTGTCATGAAAATACTAAGGGGATTTTATTAGGAGTCATTACTTGATTGAAATTTTTTCCCTTGCTCCCTGTAACCGAGGCTGACGTTTGATACGTGAGAAATCTGCAATATATGATTATAAAAAAAATCATAAAAATATGGACATCACCTAGGAATATTATTCTCAATGACACGATTATTTTTTGCCCGTTGCGAAAGTCGTTACTCAGGAGGGAAGGGGGGAGGGTGAAAATGAGAAATAAATGAAGAAAAGGAACTGGGCTGGAAATTTCATTTTTCCTTCTTTAGGACTGAGCCATACACCATTAACATTGTTGACATGCAAATGACAAAATAATTTTCAACTTGTTCTATTCTGTTCGCTTCTTCATCTCCATTCACATTTGCATTTCCTTATCATTTTTTTTATTATTTTTTCGTTCTTTACTTCATAAAATGATTTATGGAAACACAGGCATGTCGAATTGAAAAAGATGATTGTGTTAATAAAATGTAAAAATATTTCCTCTCCAATTGCGTGCACTTCCCCTTATTCCGATGAAGAAATATAAATAAAATAAATTTTTTTGAGAGAGAGAGAAGGAGGGGTTTGTTTGAAAGAGACAACTGGACCAATTCGATTCGTAAAGATTATTTTGCTAAGATGGTTTAGAGAAAGATGTCAAGAGACTTTTTTTGCAGCTGAAAAAGACCTCTTAAAAAATGGTCTTGTGTCACTGCTTCCTGAAACCAATAATTGCCGAAATCATGCGAGTAGAGAAGTCATAAAGGTCAAAGGAGGAGTCGAAAAGTTTTGTGACGTTTTGAGTTAGATACGTCACAGTTCCAAATATATGAGGATTTCGTTTCAAATGAGTCAACGGCTGACCCTCACCCTCTTGGAAATTGCTCTCGATTTTTTCTACGATTGGGGGGCCAAAAAGATTATCTTTCAATTTTTTTCATATTCTTTCGACGGCCCTTTTCGAAGATATGATTTTTTTTTCGTTTTTACGTTTTTTTTTCAATAACTTCAGTTCTATTCATCCGATTTTTATTTATGACACGTCAAAATTTTCGATTTTTTACTATCTATAAGAATATTTTGAGTAATTTTTTTTTCAACCCCTGGGTGCTCATAATATCGAATTTTCAAAAAAAAGTTGAAAAACTTGAATTTTCAAAATTATGTCACATTTTATTTTTCTCGTCTTTTTTTCAGTAACTCTTGTAATCAAAATAAGTATTTTGAGTTCTCATACAAGTTGGGTTCCGTCCTAGATCTATTTTATTTTCAATTTTTTCTTCTCGAAATTCCACGGATTTGGTCAAAATACCGCAAAATGGCGTTGATTGACTTTGATCATAAATAGTATGAAGTGAATTTGAACGTATACTAATATGTTACATATTTTTTCGGTACATAATCTAAGTCGTTTTGGGGTGTTTTGACCAAATTCGCAGAATTTCGAAAAGAAAAAATTAAAAATAAAATGGATCCAGGACGGAACTCAACTTGTATGATGACTTAAAATGCTGGTTTTGGTTATAAGAATTACTAAAAAAAAGATAAGAAAAATAAAAGGTGACGTAATTTTGAAAATGAAGTTTTTCAAATTTTTTTTTTTGAAAATTCGGTATTATAACCACTTAAGGATTGAAAAAAAAATGACTCCAAATCTTCTCATAGATGGTAGAAAATGCAAAATTTGGAGGTGTCATGAATTAAAACCAGTAGAATAGAACCCGAGTTATTGAAAAAAAACGAAAAAACCAAGAAGAAATCATATCTCCGAAATGGACTATCGAAAAAATCTGAAAAAAATTGAGAGATAGTTTTTCTAGCCCCCCAATCGCAGAAAAAATCGAAATCAATTTTGAAGAGGGTGAGGGTCAGCCGTTGATTTATTTGGCATGGAATACATCATACTATTCCATGAATATATCAGAAATTGAAAATTCCGCAGAAAGTCTCTTGAAGCGCAGTTTATAAAGTTCCTGGCAATCAAGACATTTCAACTTTCTGTCCAAACCCACTCGTTTCTGTGATATTCACAAGATAATTGTTCAACAATTTTCGTTCAGAGAAAAATGTTAAAGTATTCTCTTTGTATCTCATAAAATTTGCAATAAAAAATCCTTCGCCATTTTATCCTAAACCAACTAATTCCAGAGATATTTGCAAAATAATTTTCAAATTCGTCTTGAATCCCTTCATTTTATCACTTTTCCACCCAATGAAACTTATCTAAATCCGAATTATTACTCTCTGATCATGAAAATCAATGAAACTCCTCTCTCTTTCTCTCTATTATTCTGCTAGAACCCCAAGCATTCCGGATCATAGCAACCCCTTGGCAATCCTCTCACCCCGAGAGTCTGTCAATAAAGATGTGCTTCCCCCCTTTTGCCCTCATTAAAGTGTTTACTAGCGCGTAAATGATATATATTAGTATCGATTCCCAAGGATGCGATTTGAACTGGCTGTGATAACGTAAAATTTTTACTGAAAAAAATTGCTATTCAACTTGGGAGTTTCCTCGACCTTTCACATGAGTTTACCTCTTAGTGAGAAATTTATCGAAGCACGAAAACTTTAAAAAAGCAATTAAAAATCGGGGTGTGAAAGAAAACTTTTTACTTCGTTATTTTAATGACCAAAAAAGAAATGAAAAAGAGAATCTGTGGAAATTTTTTTAGTCTTGTTCTTGGCGGATTGTTCGGACGGAATTCACGAGGACCGGGTGGGTTTTACCGGTGCGGAGAAAAGGGTGGGGGAACCTGTGCGGCTGTCAAATTAAGGCAACATCCCCAGCATTATTGAATCCTCAACTAACGAGGCTTCTGTACAGCGCAGAATACAGAGTGATGAATTAACTCAGTCAATTCAGGCGTTAACAATAGCTTCATATTAATGTCATCTGTGTGTTTTTCTAGTCAAAATGGCAACACCTGCTTGTCCCTCGTGAATATCCGACAGACACCCCCAATTTACTGCTACGCTGCACTCTATATAAATATAATTATGAGGATGAAGAACGTTTTACTAAAAATTGAATACAAAATTTTGTTTATTTGCGAATTCATCTCGGTAACGAGTGGTTCTAGGGAAAAATATCCGAAAACTGATTCGGGGAAAATTTTCTCCTCTACAAGGTCGTCTGACAGTTTTTGGTAAATCCACTAATTTTCAGAATATATTTATAAAATCAATAGCATGCAATTTTGGATTTGATTGTCATCGAAAAATATTTCGCTTGTGAGGTATTTGTAGAATACGCTGCCTATACGTATTCATATTCATACGTATTCATATTTTTTTCCATTTTCCTTGCAACATGACACACTTGTTTGAATTCACGTACGAAAAAATTCCATAAAAAACTTAACGAATTCGCTAGAAAATTCTTTTGGGATTTTATTAGAATTCTAGGGCATTCTGGTTAAAATTTTATTTTTTTTGCGCTGATCGTATGAGATATTTGATAGGAAAAAGGCAATAGATTTCGAATTTCAGATTTTTCTATAAGAATGCTTGGTCATCAATTTTTTAAGTTTTTTTCACTCGGATCCTATAATGCAAAACAAAACAAAATATATAGCGAAAAAAAACTTGGAAAATCCGTGCCCAATACTTTTCATAGAAAAAATCTCAAGAGAAAAAATTAAACAGAAGAATCGAAATCTATTGACTTTATCCTATCAAATATCTATTAGAATCTGCGCAAAAAACAAATGGAATTTTAACGCCAATTCTCTAGAATTTTAATAGAATCCCCATAGAATTTTCTAGCGAATTCGCAAAGGTTTTCCATTGAATTTTTTCATGTGTTAACCTGCGAATATCATGGAAATGGAGAAGTTTTCCTCATCTAGAAGAACGCTTTTTGATATTTCGAATAAATCTGCTAGGTTCCCAGATATTTGCAAAACAGTCTATGAGCAAATTTAGTTTTCTCTCCATTTCTTTGGAAATATCTTTGAATTAAGAAGGTTTCACACAATATATTAAAAGACATGATTTGTGGAGAATTTTGTAAAATACAAAAAGTGTTTTGAAATTTTCTTGTAAAACCACTCGTTACCAAGGTAATTCAGAAATTAACAAGTTAGTTATATCGCCCTGAGTCAAATCTCGCGCAGGCGCATCACCTCATTTCTTTTTCTGCATTTTTTTTATCTTCAGGGCAAAATTTGAAGTGCGATGGGAGTGTGATGATGTATGCGTGACGATTCGCGCACAAATTGAACTAATCTTAGTGGAGAATATGGAATGCACTGCATACTATGTATGCGAGACAATGAAAATGTTTTTTGTACATTTGATTAATAAAATTGTATCTTGAGGATCATCACTATTCACTGTGTTTTTTTATTTTATTTTTTCTGCGTTCCTGGAACGTACAATGTCACAGAGGGTAAACATGTCTGTTATCTTCCTTCTCATTCAAGGGGACGAGACAAATAACAGGGGTTGCGTGAGCGTCGTTCGATTTTTTTTACACCGCTTTCACTTCATCATCAACCCCGTCGTGAAAACCGCATGAGAGGAAAATGTATAATGTTGAAAGCGTACGGCGTTGCCTGGTTACCCTGGACACAGGTCACTACGCGCATGATTCTCTTTATTGTAACTTCCGTAATTAACTTGATGCATTTTGATAAGTAATTCATGAGGGAGCGGCGGGGGAGGAGGGGGGCTAAAAGATTGAAGTGCTTTATTAATCTGATAAGAATTCATGATGTTGTGTGGAATTATTAACAATCTTCAAAGGCTCTTATTTTTTTGCGTCCCAATGGAGTATTGTAATCGATCAAATTTAAGTTTTGGATTTTTCGTGTTATATCGAGCCATTATGATCCAAAAAGTCAGAAAATGCCATTTTTAGAGCGTGTCCGGACGTATGTAAACAAATTGTGTTTCGATTTTTCGCTAATGAATCTATGGAATTGAATCTTTTTTCTTCCTTAAATGTAAGTATTGTTGAGCCCTATGAATCGCCATTAATTAAAATTTAATTCATTTATTAATTCTTTCAATTTTTCAAAAATTGTTTTCTTTACGATAACTGAAAAAATGTTTTGAATTGATTGAATGATGGTTTAAAAAATTTATTTAGATGCCCTTTTGACCGATTTCAAAGATGAAGGCGATAGCAATAACCGTTATTTTGATTTATTTGAAAATTATCGAAAAATCTGTATTTTTTGAAAATTAGAATTCCTGGGATATCTTTGGATATCATGCTTCAAATGAATTCAATTATAGCGTAAAATGTTTGTTTTAATGCCATTAAGTCGAAGTTAAAAGATCATTGCGATAGTTATATTAGTTGATTAGATTTTTATGATGATTGTTGAAAATTTCGCATTTTTCATGAATTTCCTTGAAAGTGAGCTTTCTGATGGTTTCTTCAACTGTGATGTTTCAAATTCATTCAGTTATGTATAAATAGCATATTTTTATCAACATTTTATCGAAGGGCTGAGGGGAGGGATAGGATTGTAAAAAAGGCAATTGTTTGCATAGAAGAAAAGGATAATAAGAATAATGATGATGATAACATTCAACCAAGTTCAAAATCTGACAAAATTAATGAAAAAGAAATCATATTCAAATTAATAAAATGAAATAAACAATGGATTATACATGATAGAAGGAAATGATATGCAAAATAACCATTTGGAAGCATATTGCTAATTTATTAGCAAGAATAGCTATGCTATATTCGTGTTTAAACATATTTAATGAGGAAAATGCATTAAAAACAAATGAAATAAACGTTTGAATATTCTTCAAGATGTTTTAATTAATTGTTATGGCGTTGGATTGAAACAATTAGGGACATTCATTTGATCAAAATTCATATGAAGAAACATTGTAAATGGAACGATCAGTAATTTGTGAGCGGAGGCTAATGGGATTA